GCGATGCGATGCAGAGGGAGCGCATCGATCGCTCCTGCTTAATATCCATCCCTTCACGTGTGTGTGTGCCCTTCGCCTTTTTCATTTCTATTTTTTTTTGTGTAAGTGATTAATTTTTCGATTCGACACATTAATCAAGTGGGCTCCATACGACCCCTCTCACTCACACCCTTCTTCTCGCTGTTCACCCTTATTAATACGATCTGTGACAAATGTTCGATCAGCTGCAAACACAAATTTGTACTCGGAGACAATATTTATAATTTACTTTGTAAAAAAAAAATATATATTCTATTAAATATTTTACTTGTAAATTGGAATAACGCGAATTCTATTCAATAAGTTTGGCTGTTTGTGCATTTATACGTGAATTTGGTTTCTCTCTGTACAAACTTCGTGATTACTACCTTCGACGGTTTCAACTGAAAGTTTCTCAAAGTTCAAAGCTGTAAGTTTCAATATAACTTTATAAGCAAGTAACTTAGTTATACTTATTCGATTGTTAGTGTTTTGCCTGTAAAAGTTAATTTCTCGCTGAACAGAAACTATAAGAAGTACTAGAAACTAGTGAGCCCTGAAACGGTTTTGTAGTGGAAACAATAAACAAGCGAAGCGATCGTCAAATAGAAAATAAATATCGCCTGACAAGTTTTTTTTTTGTTCCTCTAAAAATTTTTCCCAAATTTTCTAGTGCCAGGGATGGCGCGTCTCTTGAATCGAATGGCCGCAGGTCGAGTGAGTCTATGTCTTCTAAATTAATCATATCACTGTATTAATTTAATTTTTCATTAATTTTTTTGTAGCCTCGGACCGCTCGCATGTTCACGGCGGAAGCGGCCGAAGATGTAGCGGAAATCCCGAGCACCACGACCACCGCTGCTGCTGCTGCGGCGACTCCGTCAACCTCCACCAACACAGCGGAGACGACGCAAAAGCGTTACGAGGTGTGCAGACCTCGGACAGTTCCGTTGACGCCGAGACGCATCTTCGTCAGCGAGAATCATCTGACCCAGGACACGACTATAATGCGCTACCTTCAGCCCAGTTCGATGCCGGAGTTCTTCAGACTTCCCACCGACTTCAAAGCCATCGAAGCCCACTACAAACGAAACCAATGATGATCTTCTATCCAATTTCTTAAAATTACAACAACTACAACAAAAAACAAAATTCATTCATTTTTTTTTTTGAAACAGTTTTAACCTTTATTTATTCACTCATTACTCAAAAAATAATTAAATAAAAACAAAAATAAGAACAAAACAGAATTTAAAAGTAAAATGGGAATCCTTCAGAAATAATAAAAACGAGTCGCGTATCCGTGGCGACTCTGTCCTCCTACTCCTTCTCCTCACCACCACGAACTAATAATATTAATAACAAAAGAATTAAAAACAAAATACTAGTCGACTTCGATATTTTCTCTTTTTTTTTTTTTTGGTACTCGAAGAAGTTAGGGAAACGTAAAAGTAACATTTGATAAATCGCTAAATGCATAATTTGTACATCATATATTATTTTACACACACACACACACACATATACATATATATATTGAAGTCGCGTTCCTCTTTTATTTTTATCGAAAGAGTGGCTTTTGTTTTGCTTGGGTTTTTGAGGGTCGTGGCAAGCCGTGCAATTTTATTCTTGGGATAACACCCCCACCCCAACCCAATGAAATTTAGGTTTGGGATGCACAGCCACCTCTCGCTATTCTCACTGAATGCAACTCTTTCAAGTTGATCTGATGCGATTAGTTCGGTAAAGCCCTCTGTTTAGGAAATAATACAATGAAAGCGACTTTATAAACTCTCGGCAGTTTAATTTCAAATAAATAGATTTCTTTTTTTGTGGAATTGCCTTGGAAAATTCTAAGTTTTTCTTTTAGTTATATGAAACGTGATACGATTAGTAAATTTTATAGATGAACGTAGCGAATCCTAGAGAAGGCCTGGAATATTTATATTGATCTAAAGATGGAAACTTCATAATTTGATAAAGTAATTGAGTTCATTGAAAATAAGGATACAAATTAAGCGAGCCCTGAAGAAACAAATAGAAACTGAAAATTCAATTTTTTTGATGGGCTAGAGCTAAATGATGTTACAAGTCGAATCACAGCCAATTGCAAAACAGATAAATAATATTATTCTTGTTTTTTTTTGCATCTAGTAGCAACCCGAAAGTGGTCCATTCGATCCATTCGGAATCCTCTGAATAATTCATTCGTATGTTCGCATTAAAACGTTTCTTGAAATATAGTATTATCATGATAGTAAGTTTGGATGTTGTTGAAAAAAACGCGGATATTTCTCTTCTAAACTCTACCCTTCGACCTTCTCTCGTCTCGTCTGGTCTGGTCTAGCTAGTTCTGCGATCGCGTGCGGTGTTTGCGCATGTTAATGTGTTTTCGGTGCCGGTGCAAAACCCTCCTCTCCTTCCTCCCTCTTCCACCACCACCAACAACTTCCATGCAACGACGACGAGCAGCAGTCGATGTTGGGAAAGCGTCGCGACGCCCGCGTCACCATTCCGCTTGAAATAATTAAAAAAAAAATAAAATAAACATCGCGCGCGACGCGAGATCCACAACAACAACAAAAAAAATATATATAAAATAAATCGGATTACGTCTGCATCGACAATAGGTAAATGTTTATTTTCGTTTGTTTCGTTTCGCTTTTATTTGATTGTTTTGTAAGTTTAACCTTCCCCTCGCCAGACAAAACACAAAAGCGATTCGTTTCTGTTTCTGCTTCCACTTCCGCTTCCGGCGGCCGCCCTTTTGTGTGCGTATGTGTATGTTTGCACGAAAACTGCTAACGAGCAACAATTTACTTCTGAGCGTAAGGTTTTGTGTCGCCACTCATTAGTATCGCGTTTCCTGTTAATTGCGGATGAAGAGATCCGAGCGGCGGATAAAGAGTGCCGCAGCACTGTTTTCATAACTGCTACACTTCCTGTTGGAAAATATACAGAAGAAAAGAGACACGAAAAAAAAGACGGAAATGTAAGAAGAAACAAAAACAATCGCTAATCCCGTTACGTCGAAACTTCCCCTAAGTAAGTTCAATTAACCGCAACCAACTTTTTTTCTTTTCGCCAACCCTAAACGAATAAAAGAAAATATTACTAATTATATCTAAACCTCCCTAAGCGAATTCAATTAAGCGTAACCAACTCTTTTTTTTGCCAACCCCAAAATAAAATAATTACTAATTGTCTCAAACAAAAATTCTAAATTCAATTAAATACTGTATTAAGTAATAATATTGTTTTGTTTTTGTAAGAATCTTATTAATTTATAAGAAAATAAAAGTTTGAACGTTTTAATTTCTATCTAGATGCAGCTTTCCGCTGTTCCATTTTTTGTTTTCAAAACTTTTTACATTAGCGAACTTTACTAAAAATGAGGAGAAAATATGAACAAAATATACATAATGGCAACACGGTAATGCACTCCTAACTCTCTTGTTTTTCTTGTTATATCATGGGAGGAATGAAAACAAATCTTCCAAGAAGTTTCGTTTTACGACTGTTTTTTTTGTTTTACTCATTCTCATTACTATACAAATTAGTAACAGTGTTTTGTATTTCATATCATTTGGAATTGAAAACAATTGATAAAAGTACATGAAAAATAATGGAATACGAGAGTTATTTCATGTATTCTCTATAATTGAGTTTTAAGGGAATGAATGAGAAAAACTCGTTGATTAATAAAGAAAAAACAATGCGTGTCTAAACAAAACAATGGTTTTAAGGGAAGGTGCGAAGTTGTTCGTAATTAATGCATAAATCTCATAATTGTGTTTAATTAAGCTCCGTAAACGGATTCCGGGCTTAATTGGTGCTCGCACGCGCTCCGAGCTAATTAAAAAATAATTAAAAGAGTAAAAAGAAAATAAAACTACAAAGAACGTGTTTGCGTTGTGTTGTGGTAGAGAGTGGCGTTCCGTGACTAAATCGAGCGGGAAATTTGAATTGCCCCGCGGTCGATACGTGCTAATTAATCAAATTGCCCTCGCTCGTAACCAACGGAACAAAGGAAGTCGTCGTCTTGAGAGGGTGGATGTTAATTACACGCCATCCGCGCGATGTCGCTGATTAGACGCGTCTCGGATCGTATGCAGCCGCACGTGCACTTCTCGAGTGTCTGAGGGGGTTTACAATACCTTCCTCCCCCCCATAGAACAGAACATGGCTAGAAACTTGTAATAAAATTGCAAGTTTGTACAAGTTCGTTCCATTCACTTGAACTTTCTTTAATTAATTAAAGTAGTTAATTTTTTGTTTGTTTGTTTTCAAGGTGTTTCCTGAATATGGACGTGTTGTGGCAGGAAAGACTGTTCGGTAAGCAACTTACGGATTGTTCGGGTAGCAAACCGGATACGGAAACCGTTGAAGCCCTCACGGACGTCGAGACGGTGGGCGTTTATTTCTCATTCGCCAACATCAACCTGCAGAGCGACGATTTCCGGAACAAGCTGAAGGAGCTCTATCGTCGCCTTAACACCTCCGATGGATCCACGAAGAGATTGGAGATTGTCCAGGTCGTCCTCTGGGCTAATAACGACGTGTACAGCGACTTCGAGGGAAGCCACCGTGACAGTCTGGTCGACCTTCCGTGGTTCGCGATGCCCTTCAGTGAAATCGACCTAAAGGTAATGAAAACAAAAAATTATATTAGTAAATTGATTCACTCTAAATCAGCGATTCCCAACCTGTTTTCATTGACATGTAATTTCCATAATAACTAATGTATCTCAAGATACATTTTTACATTTTATATTATAACTAATGAAAGAGTCATTGGAGAGAATAGGACAAGGTTGGGAGACACACGTTTTAATCCCATAGATAAACCAGCGTATGGTAGATCTAGTGGATCAAAACGTAGATCCGTAGCATTTTCTGTATGAAACAGGTGCAACCTCGTGAAGGTTAAATGCGAAACGGTCTTGCATCAATTCAGAGGCTGTATATTGCGCTTGAAATGATACCTGGTTATCATCTTCATAAGAAGATGATATACCTTTAATTAGCACCTGGACATGCGGCCACGTGGAAGTCGCTGCTCTCGTTCACAGCAAATGAGAGCAAACGCGCGACCGCACACCCGGGAGGAATCAAAAAGAAAATTTAGGGAAATTTAGGAAAGAAGGAAATGCTATGATCTAGGTACCTGAAACAGAAGAACACAAAGAAATGACACACGCCCGACCCAAAACATGAACGAAATATACGTTTACACAATCTATAAGATCGTATTGAAAAATACGATACACATTTATAATTACAATAA